ATCGATCCCACTAACGATCTCCCTATCGATATCACTCGATCTCACAATCGATATCACTATTCATCTCACTATCGATCTCACTATCGATCTCACGATCGATCTCACTATCGGTTTCACTATCGATCTCACTATCGATCTCACAATCGATTTCGTCATCGGTCTCACTATCGTTTTCGCACCAGCGGGACACCTGGACTTCGGCGGGACTTCGGCGGGACACCGGCGGGACACTGCGCGCCACAACTTGCTGGAGGGAGAATCGCTTGGTCCGGCCGGGGCCCAGCCACAAGCGGGACACCGGCGGGACACCGCGTGCCACCGCTTGCCAGAGAGAGAAATAGTTGGTCTGGCCGCGCCTCAGCCACAGGAGACTTTCCTCTCGCCCGCCCACGCAGCTTAGCCTCGCCCGCACGCACGAACACGAAACCGAAACCGATTTCCCGGTGGGGGGCTCTCCGTTCCACTTCGATCTCACCCCCCAACCTCCGATATTTATATATATACATATATAGATATACTGATACGTATACATGTGTACTAGAACCACGCGCGTGCTTCGAGTGCGTTTTGGTTCTAGCGCAGGCCAGCCAGGGACATGTTTGAACCAATCTGGCATCACGTCCTCGTGAACGCGTACTCCATGAATCGATGCCCCCTTTACACTTGGGAAGGGGCTCGGAGCACGTCGCCGTGGCTGTTCGTGGAAGGAGGGCGTCCCGGTGTCATCCTGGGTGCCTATCGGTCGGGATAAGCAATCGTGATCACGAAATACAGTCGGGGCGTTGACCTAAGGAACCCTAAATAAGGAACGAGGCCCCTTTCCATAAGTTAAACTTCGATGTCCTATCGAAAACCTAAGGAAAACGTGGGGCAACATGTGAAACAATTAAGGAATAAGGAGCCCCTATCCAACGAAAAGAGTTCCTTCTTCAGCGCCCCGACTGTAGGAAGTAGAGGACGGAAAGGTGGAGCCACTCGATCACTGAAGTAGGAAGGCGCTAAAAGTAGATTGGGATCTGGGACTCCAGAAATACCTACCTTCAGCGACCGATGGGTACTCCTACTGAGTTCAAGTGGCACATGCAAATGCGCTTATCGTGAAGTCTCCCAAACAGTCGTGGGAAGCCCATCGCGGGCAACATCAGGGTCACAACGAGGGGGCCAGGCATTCTGTGAGGGCCGCACAACCTATCACCACCCCCAGCCAGGAGCCCCACTCCCGTCCTGGTGATCCAGGGGACCCTGGCTGGGGGCGGGGGTGGCTTAGAGGGGTCCCCTTGGGGCCAAACAAAGATGACCTCGGGACGCCCTGGATCACCAGGTCGGGAGTGTGGTCCTGGCTCTGGCCATCGCTCGGACGTCCATTTCCCGTGCATGTTTCGATTTCGTGCGTGTTTTTTTCGCTAAATGATCAAATATGCTCCTCGATGGTCCTCGCCGAAGGAAGAGTGCACACGTCCGAGCGATGCCAAGTGGGGGTGGGGGTGGTCTGTGCTGTCCACATTGCGCTCGTGAGACCGATCAGTTCTGGGGCTCAACATGGGCCTCGTGGCGCGCAGCCTTAGGTTCCAGTCCACAGCACGTCCCTCATCGCATTCCTATCCTGCTCCACGCTCTACCTGACTCTCACGTTGCCCCCTCCTGCTTAAGTATCCTCCCCCCCACCTTTTCTACTCATCCTGATCTTCCTCTTCGTGTGACTACGAGGAAAGCACACCCGCAGAGGTCACCTCGGAACGCTCCCTGTGGGCTCCAGGTGCCACGAAGGGGTCTCACACCCACTGAGCAGGAAAGAAACCCCTGGAAGAACTTCATTTTCCAGAGTGACCCCCCGTGACCGCTTTCTCGTGGCGGGAAGGAGCGCCCCAAAGCCAGGGAGGTGGTCAGAACTCGCTCCACCAGGCCGCCCTCCCCGTGACCGCTCTTCGCGGCGGGGGAGGGCGCCCCAGAAGGTGCTCCGCCGGGCTGCCCCCCCGTGACCGCTCTTCGCTGCGCGGGGGCGCCCTGAAGGCCACAAGACGGCGGTGACCGCAAATTGGCGGCGGGCCCGAGACCCCCCCGTGCCGAGAGCTCTCGACCCCCACTCCAGCTGTCCAGGGGGCGTGAGGGTAGTGGATGATGGATTGGCCTGCCTCTGAAGAAGAGAACCCCCATATAGAGCATACGGTCCATCGCAGAGGCAGCAGATGCCGCCCTGGGCAGCAAACGGAGTAGAGCAAGGGCGCAAGGTTGCGAGTACCAGAACCATCCTTGCTCGGCCTGACCCGCCGCATGCGCTAGTGCCCCCCATTTCCCCGCTGGCGTCAACAACATCAACCAACGTCAACAACATCAACCACATCAACCACATCAACATGGCCATCATCACAATACAAACGGATGCCAGCCGAACCATGACTACATCGGCATGGGCAAGCACAGCGGGATTCGCGATCTTGCTGAGAGCTAGGTTGGTGGGGAAAGGAGGAAGGGGCAGAAGGCGAGGCCTTGTGGATGCGTCTAGCAGAAACTTCTGGGTGCGTCGATGCAGACGCTACCGGAAAGGCTTCGGGGCACAGCGAGTACGGCTCCTCGGGGGCATCGTCTAGAATGTGGACGCGCTGCATCTTGGGAGCCGCTTTGGGGCTGCCTCTGGGGTCCAGTGGGGCTGTGCTGGAGCCGTCTTGGAGGCCTCCTGAGGCGGCTTGGGGTCCGGTGCGGCCATATTGGATCCCTCTGGGACGTAGTGGGGGTCTCTGTGAGCCGTCTTGGGGCCGACTCCGGCAGTCTGAGGGCCCTCTTGGGCCGTCGTCTTGAGGCCCGAACCTGGCGGGCGCAGGCCTGGAAAATAACGGCCACGGCACCCTCTCGAGAACCGAAAACGGGCAATTCACTAATCGACGTGTCACTGTTGGGGGTTCTGTCCACCCCCGATGGGTTCCTGAGAAGGCCCTTGTAAAGCATCTTGGGGCCCTCTTGGGCCGTCAAGGGCCCATCTTTGGCTGTCTGCGGCCACTGCTGCGGCCACTGCAGGCCATTTTGGGCTGCGTTGGGGCGATACCTGGCCATCGCTCGGACGACCATTCCCTGTGTTTTTCTCGGTTTCGTGGGTGGTTTTTTCACAAAATGATCAAGGATGCTCCTCCATGGTCCTCGCCAAAAGAAAAATGCACACGTCCGAGCGATGCCAAGATACTGGGTGCGTCTGGGGCTGTCGTGGGCGCTCTGACGGCCGAAGAGGCGAGGATACGAGAATCATCGGGCAACAATCGGGACAATCAACGGGACATCCTTGTCAACACGCATGGCTTCATTTCACGGGCGACATGACGTCGTGCTTTTCGGGTCCCGAGGCCTACGGGCGCAAGGAACCCACGTAAAAGTGCATGGTTTCAGCACGCGGGCGAACGGAACCTATGTGGTCTAACGGTTGCCCCGCTCAGGAGCCTAAAAGCTTGAGCAGGGACCGACCGTCCCGGCATTCCTATAGTCCTACCACGAAATGTTTTTCGAACCCAGAAATGTTCTAAGGACAAAACAATGTTCTTAGAGCATAAACTCGATGTGTCAGAACAAGACAATATCAACCAGAAATGTTCTAAGAACATTTCGTGGAAACCACAAAAGGTTCTTCGAACATTCTTTGGTAGGGCTATAGGCGAGCCAGGACGCTTCGCCACTGCTTGATTTGACGGTGGCCCCGACAATCGGAACAGCCGGCGGGACAGCTGGGGGCGGCGGGCCGGACCCGCCGACTCGTGTTGGTCTGACTCGGCCCCTATCTCTTTGCTGGGCCAGGAGCTCGAGCCGCTCGCCCGCATCCACGCCACGCACGACACGGCACGATCTCCCGCGTGGGGCACCTCACGCTCCAATTCGGCCTTGCCCCCCCGGAATGCTTCGAAGGTCCCCCCCTCAAAAGGACGCCCGGAGCACGCCAGAAGCGGCGCCAGCCGCCAGGGGGTCCCAGCAATCCGCGCGGACCTCCGAACCTCTGTGCACATCCGGATTCCTGTTCCTCCCCGCGCGGTGCGGAGGCGCGCCGCCACAGGCGCCCCTCTGGGCAGGCAGGAGACAGGCTGGCGGGATCGGAGGGGGCGGCGGGGGTGGCGGGGGAGGAGGAAAAGGAGGAGGAGGACGACGAGGAGGAGGAGGAAGAAGCGGGGAGAGGAAAAGGAGGAGGAGGAGGAGGAGGAGGAGGAGGAGGAGGAGGGGGAGGGGGAGGGGGAGGAGGAGGGGGAAGAGGAGGAGGAGGAGGAGGAGGAGGAGGAGGAGGAGGCGGAGAGAAAGGGCGGTGGCACCATGAAGGGCAGGCTCGTGCCGTGACGACTTGCGCGCTGTTCCCCGACGCGGCGTATGGATCGCTCGGCCGGCCGGCAGGTTCCAGGCAACTGGCGGCTGGGCAGCGGCAGGGCCATCAAAAGGTGAGGGGGCAGGGACTGGCCATCGCTCGGACGTCCATTCCCCGTACATGCTTCGGCTTCGCGCGTTCATGCATCGCGCGACGACCCAGGCTGCTCCTGAGCGGTCCTCGCGCCGAGGAAGAGAATGTAAACGTCCGAGCGACGCCGAGGGAACAGGGCGAGGGAAGGGCGCAAGGCGGGGAGGAGGTGCCAGAAAACACTGAAGGGGCCCTGGGACACACAAGTAAATACACACAAACAACAGGATTCCCTATATTTTCCTACATTTTCTGGGTTTTTGTCTTCCCCCCCACTTCCAATATTTTCCCATCTTTTCCGGGGGATCGACGATTAATTGTGTCTGTGTGTTTTTGTCCCCTCCTGAGGGACGGCCGCAGCGGGGGCGAGGGGCCGCAGGGAGCAAGAACCTCACCATCACCACCTGGAGGGGGCAGGATCCTCTGCGCTGTCACCGTGGGATGCAGCAGGATGCAGTATACATTCCCCGCCGGTGGTGGTGTTCATGCTTCCTGAGAAAGGGAGTGGGACGAGGATGGGGAGGAGGGTGGTTGAAGGAGAGGGGAGGAAGCGGCGTCCCGTGGGGAAGCGCCGTCGCCATTTCCCCGAAGCGCAGAATGACGCCGCGAGCCGGTCGCAATCCGGTAGCTGCCGGATTCACACGCTGCCCTACGGCGTCCGCAGATGATGCGAATCTGCGCTGAACGCGCACAAGCGGCAATGGCTGCACCAGCTCTCTGCTGCGCATTAAACCTGAAGCCCGTGCAATGCTGATGCACCGTCGCCGTCGTCGTCGTCATCGTCGCGTGGAAAGCCGCGTACAAATTGTGACCCGGGTAGGGCAACCAGCATCAGCAGCACCGCAACACGTACGAGAACTTTGGGCGAAATTGATGGATCCAGGGAGTCGTTTTTTCCAACACTCCTCGTCCCTTTCGGGGACCAAATTATCACTGAATCTCGACAATGAACACCATATCCCCCTTCGGGACCGGCCGCCAACCAGGAATAACCAGCCCAACCCCCACCATCCTGGTCAAAAACAGTACAAGCCGCTCAAGCTGCACGCGGCGGCAAAATGGACATTTGGCCCAGTGCGTGCTGCAACGTGCATTGGTCACCTGGCGCGCTTTGCACGCGTCGCGCACGTGGCGCACCTGGCGCGGCTGGAACATGTCGCACACTTGGCGCGTGTGGCGCATCTGGCGCAACTCTCGGGAGTTGCGCTCCTTACATCTGTCTTGCCCCAACTGTGTTTTGTTTGTGGCGACCTTTGCCTATGCAAACTGTCAGGTGTGTAGAGGGGGGCGGGTCACCCGGTGGGACTGACCGATGTACGCTGCGGCCTTCCCGGTTCTTGGCCACTCCCCCCACCCTCTTCCTATGGGCCTGGATGGGGGGAGGGGGAGGCGCGAGATGTCAGAGGGTCCTATGTGGCCCAAGATGGCCCTCAGATCGCCTGAGATTATCCGAAAGTGGCCGATCACATGGCTCAATCTATACCTATATATATATATATGTGTAGCCCAACACGGAAAATATGACCTCAAACGTACCTACATGAAGCCCCCAAACTGCCCCGAAACCAAGACGGCCCCCAATGACCACGGAGCTCTCCAAGAAGCCACAACCGTTCACAAACCCAGCGCGGCCGACTGCGACATAACCTCTCGGCCCTTCTTCCCCTTGGGACGCCGAGGCCTCCATGTGGCACTCGGAACGCCCGACGTGGGGGCCATATGGAGTGAGAGCACCACGGCCCCCGAGAGCGCCGCAGGCGGAGAACCGCCCTCGCGGGCCCTGTTTTTCGGCGGCACCCGCGGGAGGCATTCTGACGCCACGGGCGGACCCAAATTAGACCTCGCCATCCCTGGGGGGCTGCGATCTGTGAAACTGTCGCCGCTTTCGAGGCCTGCTGGGGGGCCCAGCGCAGTGACGCCACGGGCGGATTCAAATTAGACCTCGCCATCCCTGGGGGGCTGCGATCTGTGAAGCTCATTCGGGACAACGCGGCACCCTCGAGCCCCAAAATCGCCCAAGCGGGCGTTGAATGCGGCACTACATGGCTCGAGTTTGTTGGGGGTGGCCTCCGTCGTGGCCCAAGTGACCCTGGAGCCTTGCCTCCAGGCTGACCCTAGGAGCCCAGGCCGACCAGAAATCTGGAGCGTCTCGCGCGCTCCGCCGGATGGAATTCGCCCGTGCATGGAAAACGCCATGGCCGTAGGGTCACCAGGGGATAGGTCGGACATACACTTCCCGCAAGGCCACCATTCCCGAAAACGGTGCGATAATTTGGGGGAGGATGGTGCAAGGTCTTGCCTCGCAGGTACAGAACGCAGCGACGCAGCGATGCCCTGTCAAATTCGCCGGCCCAACGGGCCAGGGCGTGCTAAGATCTCCGGTACCTGGTTAACAGTATTTCTAGTTCGCGCGCGCGGGGCGGCCCCTGGGGGTCCCCGGACGAAAAGTACCCCGGCAAGGTCCCGGCAAGTCCCCGGAAAGTCCCTGGCAAGGTCGGGTCAGAGATGCCGGAGTTCTGTTTCGGAGTCCAAGAGGGCTCCAGATCGGTCCAAGAGGGCCCCGAGAAGCTTTCTAGACGGTCCAAGAGAGGCCCGAGACGGCCAAAGATCGCCCGAAGACGCCCCAGATGGCCCCAAGACAGCCCAAGAGGCCTCCAAGACGCTCCAAGGGCCTTCCAAGAGGCCTCCGAAGAGGGCCCCAAGTTGCCAAAATCGTTGATTTCCATTGGTTTTTCTATGTTTTTTTGCGTTATGGCCTTTTCGCTTCCGGACGCTCCAAGAGGGCCCAAGAGGCCTTCAAGACTGCTCCAAGACGGCCCACGAGCCTCCCAAGACGGCCCCGGAGCGGCCCAAGAGCGCCCCCCAGACGGCCCAAGTGCCGCCCAAGGCGGACCAAGAGGCCCCAAGACGGGCCCAAGAAGGGCTCAAGAAGGGAACCGAGAACTGAAAAATCGAGCCCTCCGCCCCAGAAGGCGCCCAGGACCCCGAAAGAGGCCCCAAGAGACTCTCCAAGACACCCCCAAGACGCCCCAATAAGCTCCCGTGAGGCCCCAAGAGGACCAACAACGTCAGGCCCCAGGCCCCAAGAGGACCAACAAATACCGCCAAGAGCCCGCCGAAAGCCCCCCAAGAGACCGTCACGAGAGCTCAGGAGGCCCCCTGGAGGCCTCCCGAGTTCTCCAAGAGGCCTAAAAAGAGGCGCCAAGAGGCCCCAAACGGCCCAAACGAGGCTCCAAAAGGCCACGAACGCGCAAGCACACGCCTGCGATGGCACAATACGGGCCGGCGGAATGAGCGAAGCGATTAAATAAGGCGTTCGTGCGCGCCTGGGGGCGCGAACCCAAACGGCAACGGCACGATTCCATCTTGCCGCCCCCCCCATTTGGCCCCCCTTCGACCCGGGAAAGGACGGGGCAATACTAGAACGCACCCACAAGTCATCCGAGGAGGAAGAGCAGCTTAAAAACGCAGCGACAGGGCAACCTAAGAGTACAAACTGACCGTCTTAAAGCATTCCTGGCCCGTCTGAGGGGTCTGATGCCGTCGAAAGCCGTCTTGGGGGCCTCTCTGAACCGATATGGGGTTCTCTTGAGGCGCTTCAGGGCCGTCTTGGAGGCCATCTTGGGCGTCTTAGAGGCCTCTTGGGGCCGTCTTTGGGGCCTCCTGGGCCGTCACAGGGGCCATCTTGGAAGCCTCCTGGGCGCACTGGGGGCGAGGAGGAGGAGGAGGTTGAGGAGGATGAGGAGGAAGACGACGAGGAAGAGGAGGAAGAGGAAGGAAGAGACGGGGAAAAGCAGGCGAAGAGGGAGTAGGAAGAGAAACAGGGAGGAGGACCAGGAAAAGGAGGCAGGGGGTAGGAGCGAGGAGACACAGTCGGACAACGAGAGGCAAAGTCGGAGCAACCCCCAACCCCCAGAGTCTGGGGGCGCCCCAGAGTCTGAACAGCACCTTTTTCAGATCTTGTTTACCATGTGCCTGTTTCGCACGTGGCGGCTGCGCGAAATGAACTGACGCTGCGGGCGCGACTCCCGCGCGCGCGCCTCCGTGCTGAATGCAATCGCCCACTCTCATACCATCCGTCTCTGGGTCCCGCTTGCGGGCCAAGGCTTTGACGTCGTCGTCGCTGTGCGCCATAAGGATGTCCTCGGGAACTGTCATATGAGAGGGCTGGGCAGCCGTCTTGCACGCTAGCAATGGACGATGAGCTCGCAGCCAGCCATGGGCCACGGGCCTCTGCCCTGCGTTCCCATGGAGACCCTAGCGCCGCCGTCGGACACGGAGTGCCCGCAGGTGTTCTAGATCGATCCATCTCGCCCCTCATTGGCGCACCCTGTCGACGCTGGCGATTGCGTCGGTCGAGCCGCTCCCAGCATGCGAAAGGAAGACCTCAATGATACCAAGCACCTCGCAATTAATGCGCTGTGGCATTGACGGGTCGTTGTTAGCCATGGACCCAACGTGACTCCGCCAAAGACCCTTGAAGCAACGCTCGTGAAATATCTGTCTGCTTCAGAGACGGCACAGCGAATATCCTGGCGTGAACCGTTTGATGTATTTGCTGCGCGCTTGTTGATGTGTTACAACCACCAGGCATGGGCGGGCTCGGTCCTGTCGGTCCAGAGTCGTCTCGCCATTCCGCATGTCGGTCCAGAAATGTCCTTTGCCTTTGCTAGTGCCCGTGGGAATACGGATGTCATTGGCGTCCAATTTCCTCTCTGCACGTACCCACTCAATATGATGCTACGCGCTGCGATCATATAATATTGTGGTAACGCTATTCCGTGATCCACGACCATGGTGGTTTCTGGCCGTGGCGATCCGAACGCTACGTGTGGCGCTGACATTGGGTCTGACAACGTCATGGCCCCGAGGCTGTGGAAGCCGCCGATGCTCTCGCGAACGACAGCGTTCGGGGCGGGACTGGCCCTCAGAAGGGGCCTTCAGATCTGTCAGTGGAAAGCCGCCGACACCCTCTGGCCGGGGGTGAGACGGAAAGCAAACTGCAGTTGTCTTTTGGGGGGTCCTCCCAGGAACCTTCGAGCACCTCTCCCGGTGCCCCGGGAGCCCCCGAAAGCATCAAGGGGCCCAAACAGAGCGCCAAACCAATTCAAGAAAGCGCCGACACGGCCAAGGGCAGGCTCACGACTGTCTAAGATGGCTTCCCGACGGCCCGCGACGCCCCGTGACGGACGGCCAAAGAGTTGTTCCCAGAGGGGTGCCGAAAGGGCCCCCAAACGAAAAAATCGCCTCATTCCTTCCTGGAGACAATTTGTTTAGCGTGCTCGCCTTCTCCGTCTTGACAGCGTCCGAGACGGCCCGACGGGTCCAAACCATAAGCCCTCAAGGCGGCCAACGAGAAACCCACCAAGAACCCCCCCAGAAGGCCACAAAAGGACCACAATATGCCCCCAAGAGGCTCCAAAAACCAATACATTCCAAAGAGAGCTCTCCAATATGCACATCTGACGCACCCCCAGAGCCCCTCAGATGTATCCAAGATGCTCATGACCCACTACGTACCTTCCACAGCCGTTGCAAGCTCTCACCTTTTCGCGGGTCGCAGTGTCGTAGTGAGTGTGTTGTTTTTCTTCCTCTATCTCTTTCTCTGTTTCAGCCTCCTCCTCCTCCTCCTCCTCCTTCTGCTCCCATCCTCTCCACCCTCCTCTGTTCGACTCCCCCCCCTTCCTGCGTCGCCGCTATACCCTGTCCAGTTTCCTTCGCCATCTCAGACGGCCCTTCGCAAGACGCACCCTGGTCGTCGTCCTCCTCCTCCTTTCCTCCTCCTCCTCCTTCTCCTCCTCATTCTCCTCCTTTTCCTCCTCCTCCTCCTTTTCCCCCGTTTTCTTCTTCGTACGTTCCTCGTCTTTGTCGTCCTCGTCTCCTCTCTCCCGCTCCCTATCTCCTTCGTCCGCGTCGCCAATGCATCATTCGGGGAAGCCTCCGCCATGTCAGCAAATAGTCCCGCCGACATCTTTCTTCATGCGCGGCTCGTCCCGCGTCGCCACTGCTCCATTCAGGGTTTCCTCCGACATATCAGCAACACTTCTCCTCCTCCTCGACGTCCACGTACTTCTCCTGGAACCACATCCTCGTCGACCATCTCCTCCTTAACATCCTCATCGACATTCGCGTGGTATTCAACCTGTCCCTGATCCTCGTCGACTCGTTCCGAACGTGTTCGTCGTCATGGCCCTCCTCCTCCTCATCCACGGTCTCCTCCTCCTACTCCTCCTACCCCTAGTCCTGGCCTTCCCCCTCCAACTCATCCTGCTCATCCTGCTTCTCCAGCTGGTCTTCCTCCACCTCCCAATCCTCCTCGTCTTCCTCATCGTGTTCATCCTCCTCCTCGTCCTCCTTCTACTGTCGTTAGTCCTCCTCCTCCTCCTCCTCCTCATCATCATCATCATCATCATCATCATCATCATCATCATCATCATCCTCCCTCCTCCTCCTCCCTCCTCCTCCTCTCATCCTGTTTCTTCCCCTCCTCCTCTCTCCTCCTCCTCCTCCTCCTCCTCATCATCATCATCATCATCAGCAGCAGCAGCAGCATCATCATCATCATCATCATCATAATCATCGTCATCGTCATCGTACTCATCATCATCATCATCAGCATCATCATCATCATCATCATCATCATCATCATCATCATCATCATCATCGTCGTAAACATCACCATCATCATCATCAGCATCATCATCATCAGTATCATCATCATGATAATCGTCATCATCGTCACCATCAACATAATCATCATCCATCATCAATCATCAATCATCATCATCAGCATCATCCTCATCATCGTCATTGTCATCGTCATCGTCATCGTCCTCATAATCATTATCAGCATCATCATCATCATCATCATCATCAGCATCATCATCATCATGATCATCCCCCTCCTCCGTTTCCATCTGGTCCGCTTTTCGTCAGCAACGTCCTCCTCGTCCTCGTCCTTGCCCTCGTCGTCCCAGTGCTCGATCCGCTGCCCCTCTTATTGCGTCCTCTCTATCTCGCCCTGGTTCTTTAATCTCCTCGTGTCCTGGTCCTCCCTCACCTGCTCCTTCTCCTCCAGCGTCATGTTCCTCCTATTCCTCCACCTCTCCTCTTCTCGTCCTCGACACCTCCTTGTCCTCCGCATCTTCCCAACGTTTTTACACGATGCGTGTCTGTTCCTACCGTGTCCCAACGGACAGAAGGCAAACACCCCCGCCCAAATCCGCATGGCGGGACCCCATGCGATGAATAAATCCGCCAACTGCCGCTTGCCTGGAGTGAAAGGAAAATGTGGCACTTGTCTGTCCCCCTCTGTCACCCTCTCTCCGGTGCCAAACTTCGGTATAAAAGTGGAAGAAGGTGCGGGAATGAGCTCGCCCATGCACCCCCCGCGTCCCCGAAGACTCGAAAAGCACAGTCGGGGGCATCCGAGATACCCAAGGTGGCACCCATACTTGATCAAACTGGGCTCGAAAATGGTGCGGAACATCAGAACAGCCAAGGCTTAAGGCTGCCCAAGAAGTCTCCAAGACGCCCAGCCATCGTTTCACACGAAGGCCCGAAGAAGCAACACTCGATGAGATGTCGGGCTGGTCCTCCTCCTCCTCCTCCTCCATCACTATCGTCATCATCATCAGCACCAGCATCATCATATTCAGCAGCATCATCAGCATCAGCATCAGCATCAGCATCAGCATCAGCATCAGCATCAGCATCAGCATCAGCATCATCAGCATCATCAGCAGCAACATCATGTGTCCCTGGTGACTGATCAGGACGGTGCGTTCCCGCTGGTCATAGATTATGTAGCAGAGATGGGCGGCCGTCCAAACAGGAGGTGCTGGCGATGGCTACCCGGCAGCTCTCCGTCCCACAAGTTGTGAGTCGGACGTGGTCGGTTGGGCGCGACAAGCGCTCCCCTGTGGAGTCCTCACCTGGAGTCCTCACCTGGAGTCGTCACTCGCTAAGTCTGGCCCAACAAGGCACCAAGGCGGCCCCAAAAAGCCCTCAAGATGGGCCCCAGGCGCCTCAAGATAGCCCTACGGTGATTCCAGCGACCCCAAGATGACCATCGAGAGACCCCATGATGGTCCCAAAACTGTCACAACACAACTACAATATGGCTCAGCCTGGGGGGCCAGCAGAGGAACCAGCTCACTGCCGCCACAAGCAGAACAGATTCCCGCATCCGCCAAGGGAACCTCCACCCCTTTGTCTGCAGCAAGACCTACAATGCGACCAAATCAGAAAAATGCGTGGTAGGGATGAACGTCCATGGACGCCCAAATTGAAGTCGGAATTGGAAGCCCATGGCTCGTGGCAAAGGACTAGGACGGGCCAGAAGGCAAGGATGCAAGGATACCCTTGGAAAGTTACTCGTCCGCATGATGCGGTCCGACTACGACCCAACAAGCCCACAAGCTGGCGCCAGGGGTCACCGGGCGCTTCTCCGTGACCGAACGGGAGCCCCCCTGCGTGCGAGGCGATCCTGCCGAGAGGCGGAGGCACCGCTGCGGGCCGCCCTCACGGGCGGACCCCCGCGAACACGGGCAGCGCTGCCACCTGCGCAAGGAGGGAGTTCCGGGCGTCCACCTGGAGCGGGTCGGGGTGGCAGCGAGGGCCACCGTGCAGCGCGGGCCCGGGCAACAACGAGGGAGCCCCCCAGAGACATTGGATGATAAGCAATGAAAGTATCCCACAGGGGTAGGGGGACTTGTTCTGCAAATGTCTCAGACCAAACCGCCCAGATATATTATACCTAATGCGAAGACGGGGATCTAAGTGAGGCCACGTCTTCACTATGTTGTTGGGGATAGGGACCCTTCATCCTGAATGATCGGGCACGCGCGACTAACCTTGGGTCGGGCATGTCCTCCTACAGGCGGATGCTGGAAGAAACCAATATCACAAAAAAAACCGCCGACGGGTAGTCAAGAATGGTCAAAAGAGCACGAAAGACCGTCCCCAGATGATTTGCCCCCTGCTCCTGAACACTCCTCCCGTGGAGGGACGTGCACAAGACTGGTACTCAAGGATAGTCAAAAGAGCACGAAAGATCGCCCCCAGACGATTTGCTCACTGCTCCTGAGCACTCCTCCCGTGGAGGGACGTGCCCGAGCTCTGAGCCTCACCTGCCCCCACGCCCCCACAGGCGGATGCTGGAAGAACACGATACTACCAAAAAACCGTCGACGGGTACTCAAGAAGAGTCAAAAGAGCACGAAAGATCGCCCACAGACGATTTGCTCACTGCTCCTGAGCACTCCTCCCGTGGAGGGACGTGCCCGAGCTCTGAGCCTCACCTGCCCCCACGCCCCCACAGGCGGATGCTGGAAGAACACGATACTACCAAAAAACCGTCGACGGGTACTCAAGAAGAGTCAAAAGAGCACGAAAGATCGCCCACAGACGATTTGCTCACTGCTCCTGAGCACTCCTCCCGTGGAGGGACGTGCCCGAGCTCTGAGCCTCACCTGCCCCCACGCCCCCACAGGCGGATGCTGGAAGAAAACGATACTACCAAAAAACCGTCGACGGGTACTCAAGAGTAGTCAAAAGAGCACGAAAGATCGCCCCCAGACGACTTGCCCCCTGCTCCTGAGCACTCCTCCCGTGGAGGGACGTGCCCGAGCTCTGAGCCTCACCTGCCCCCACGCCCCCACAGGCGGATGCTGGAAGAAAACGATACTACCAAAAAACCGTCGACGGGTACTCAAGATAGTCAAAAGAGCACGAAAGATCGCCCCCAGACGACTTGCCCCCTGCTCCTGAGCACTCCTCCCGTGGAGGGACGTGCCCGAGCTCTGAGCCTCACCTGCCCCCACGCCCCCACAGGCGGATGCTGAAGAAAACGATACTACCAAAAAACCGTCGACGGGTACTCAAGAATAGTCAAAAGAGCACGAAAGATCGCCCCCAGACGATTTGCCCCCTGCTCCTGAGCACTCCTCCCGTGGAGGGACGTGCCCGAGCTCTGAGCCTCACCTCTCCCCCACGCCCCGCGGCCAGCGCTGCGCGAAGCGCGGCCGCCCTCTCGCGCCCTCGGCGCGGCCACCCTGGAGAGAGAGGGGGGGCAGCTCTCCGGACCGGGCCCGGACTCGTCGGGCGCGTCCCCCCTACAGTGGGATTTTGGGCGAAAAATGAAAAATACTCAAAACATATTCCAAACATACTCAAAAAAACACAAATCACTCCAACATACTCAAAAAATGTTCAAAAAATATTCAAACAATATTCGAAAAGTAGTCCCCAGACTATTTTTTTACCATTTTGAATTTTTTTTAATGTCTCGTCGAAAATCCCCCCGTAGGGGGACACGCCCGGCTTAACGCAAGACCCCCCTCCGCATCGCCGGCCAGATTCGGGATCCGCCAAAGGGTGATGTGTCCCCCGTCGCACTCACGGACCACGTCCCAGAAATGATTTCGAGCACCCAGAAAGATATCGAGACCGTGTCGAACGAGTATCGCCTCCCAGGGCCCGACACGTGAAGAACCTCCGATTTCGGTATTTTCTTGGTGCTCGAAATTAGTTCTTGTGATCAAGGTTAAAGTAAGTTGGGAAATCATAACCAAACGGGGGGTAACGCTTAGAGGGGGGCATGAGTGCGATACGTGGTGCACCGAACTGCCGCAAGCAGATGACCCCCGCATGCCCCACCTATCGGCAACTACGGGGAGCTGCCAGCGGCTGGGGGGCATCTGTTTTGGGCGGTTCGGTTAAAAAACGATCGAATTCACACACGCACACACTGGGGCACACCCCCTGTAACGGATCCCGACAGATACAGCCGGACCTAGGCCAGAAGAACATCTCTCAAGAACGTGACCCTCCGTCGCCCAAAACCGACAGAGCATCCAAGGGTACCCTCCAACAAGATGCACAAAGAACGTCCAACAAACGAAAAAAACACTGGCTTACCCTCCCCGAACCGACCTCGGTCTTATACCTCGGTCCGCCTGTAGCTGGGAGACTCTGTGAAGGGGCCCTGAGACACAAATGAATAACACAAATAACAGGATTCCCCATATTTCCCAACATGTTCTGGGCTTCTGTCCCCCTCCCCCACTTCCTATCTTTCCCTGTACTTTCCCTGGGCGTGGACGATTCATTGTGTCTGCGTGTTCTTTCCCCTCCTGACTCTGGGAGGGCCCGAACGTCCCCCCCGGGCGACGCGCTCCCAGCGAGCGCCGCAGAGGCCACGCGTGGCGCAGCATGCGCCACGTGCCAGCGTCCGGACGTCCCGAGGCGGGCACGTCTGCCCTGGGGTACGTCTGGCCCCCCCCCCCCCTGCGGTGCGTCCTCGCGCGCCCTCACGGCCCGACCGACGAGGAGGAGACGCCTGGCTGGCTCGCTGAGCAGCAGGGGGAGGGGACGAGCGCGAGGGAGCGAAGGGGGGGACTGCGAGCGACACGAGGGGGCGCGAGGGCGGGAGAAGCACGACGTTGCCGGGGGACGGCAAGCTCGTGCCCTGACGACTCGCGTCGACCTCTGACACCACAGGGGCCGCTCAGCCCTGCACGGTGGCGGGTCTCCGATCGCGAAGACCCTTCGAGATCGGCCGAGTCTGGCCCACCGGCGGCGTTCAAAAGAGAGAACGCTCGCGCTGGGCTGGCTGCCAGGCCGACACACCGCGAACCTGCCGCATTTCTCCAGGAGGAAAGGCCACGGGGCGAGCAGACGGACCCGCCGCCGTCCAGCATCAGGAGCAAAGGCGGCCCGACGCGCTGCTGCTGCACTGCAACTGCCAGCTCTCGCTGGCTCCCCTCCCTCTCACCACCCGTGCCGTCCAGTCAGCCAATCAGCGTCTCCCTGTGCATTCAGGCTTGCGTGGACGATCTGCCATTAGCGTTATCTGGACGATAGAAACAGCAAGCTCAAGAGGAGTGGATCATGACACTGGTACGCGCGTGCCCATCCGTGCACGTGCAAGAACACTCTCGTCTGCAATGCTTCTTGCCAGGGTTGCAAAATACATGTGAGACGATTGGCTGTACCCCTCCCCCTTTTCCCCTCCCCGGGGCCTCTGGAGCCTCTACTTCTACACTCTGCGGCCTCCAAGATGCACAAGAATCGATCTACGCTTGCTCAAGCAGGGCTCCAACACTCACAAGAGTCCTTCTCACGTTCGACAAAGACAGCCTCAAGACTGCCCAAGAGACCTCAGAGACGCCCCAAGAGAGCTCCAAGACGATCCGCCGAGAGGAACCCGAAGAAGCACTACCCGTATTCGCACGTTTGGGATCAATAGCGCCCAAGACGGCTCAAGAGGCCCCCATGATCGCTACAAGACGGCCCAATCAGCCCCCAAGAGAGCCACAAGACGGCCGAAGAGGGCCTCGAGCTGGCCCAAGAGGCGCCCAAGATGGCCCAAGAGAGCTCCAACAGGACCCCAAAAAGGGCCATCGAGAAGCAACTCGGACTGACATTCCGAGCCCTCCGACCCGAGAGGATCCCCGAAACCGCCAGCAGGCGAACAAGAAACTCCCAAGGGGCCCGAAGAGGACCCAAAGCGACCCAAAAGAGCCCCCCGAGGGTCCGCAAGAGGCCTCGAGAAGCCTCACCCGTTGACTTCATCCCTCTTCTGGCGATCGGCGGGATGGCGCAAGCCTCTTCAATAGACTGGGACCCAAGATATTGAACGGCATATGCTAGGCTGTTCTGAAGAAGATAGAGACAGCAAGAGAGGAGAGATAAGATAATGCATCTATGCTCGCATGCGGCAGCAGGAATAACCCTTACAAAGTCAGTATCGACAAAGCGCGGACGCAAACCACAGCTGTCAAAATACCCAGGTGACTGCAAACTCGGGCAGCTAACGGAGTCGAAGCCACTGAGGGCATGTGTAACCAAATCGAAACAATTCGACGCTAGGGTGGAAAGAAACTCATCAGCCACTGTGCCTCATGCACATTGAGGCGTGAAAGAATGCCAAGGGCTGTCTGGTGGGATGGTTGCTTCACTCTAGTCAAGGGGCCTTGCATGCACCGCCCCCCCCCCGAGGCCACGATCCTTCGTACAACAAAAGGAAGCCGCGCTCCCGAGGCCGCGAGCCCTCGCGTCCAGAGCTTTCAAGACGGCCCATGCAGGCAACCAAGGACACCAAGATGGCCCAAGGTGCCTCGAAGACGGCCCCAGGTGATCCGAAGGCGGCAACATATGGCCTAAGACGGGCCAGGATGTCTCAAAGAGGGACCACCAAGGCCACAAGAGGACCTCCAAGGTCCCAAGAAAAACAAAGCCTCAAAACAATGATTGCTGTAGGTGTGTTTAATATGACTTTCACATTCTCGCCTCGTCGGGCTTCGTCAACTCAAGACCGCCCAAGACGGTCCCCAGAAGGTCCAAGATGTCCCACGAGGGCCCAAGAGGCATTCTTCACGACCCCGAGACAGCCCAAGAGGGCCTCCCGTGGGACCCAAGACGGCCTTAGACGGCCCAAGACGGCCCAAGCGGGCCCCAAGTCACTACCACGACTGCCTCACAGGAGGCCAAGACACCCCCCAGGCGGCCCATGAGAGCCCCGCAGATAGTGAAGACGAAAGGTGTCCCATGTGACGGCCTTCCTCCCCCTTCTCCTCCTCCTGCTCTTCCTCCTCGTCTTCCTCCTCGTCATCATCATCATCATCATCATCATCATCATCATCATCATCATCATCATCATCATCATCATCATCATCATCGCCATCATCATAATAATCAGTCGCAGCAGCCTCACCATCCGCATCATCATAAAAACCACCAACACAATTACCATCACCATCACAACCATCATCGACACTGGAACCACCACTGACATTATCATGAACAGATTCATCCACACCTTCCTACTCAACAACACCAACGACACCGGTACCGGCCATCACCGCCATCGTCGTCGTCGTAAGCATCAGCAACAGCAACAGCATCATTGTCATCATCCTCATCATCGTCATCATCCTCATCAGCATCATCATGAGCAACACCAGCATCACCAGCATCATCATCGCCATCATTAGCATCATCACCAACCCCCCCACCATCGTAATCATCAAAACCACAACAACCACCACCACCACCATCAGCATCACCATCATCACCACAGTCATCATCATCAGCAGCAGCATCCTAAGCATCATCATCAACACCATCATCATCGTCATCAGCATCACCATCCTCATCAGCATCATCAGCAGCATCACCAGTCGCAACAGCCTCACCATCCGCATCATCATAGTCACCACCACCATCACCATCACCATCACCGGCATCACAACCACCACCATCATCATTATCATCATCATCATCATCATCATCATCATCATCATCATCATCATCATCATCATCAGCATCGTCACCGACATCATCATCAGCAGCATCATCAGCCTTTCAAAAATCATATGTTCCACCAATGATACTAAGCCTAGAAATACTGATACTAGTGGTAGCAATAATAACTATCATCATACTCGTCATCATCATCATCATCACCACCACCCTCATCATCAGCGTCAACGGGCGCAAAGTCTCTTGAGTCACCACGTCGATTATTCAACCTTGGACCGATCGCGGCCCCGATCGCTCAAGGTTGAATTCCGACGGGTCCAGTGGCGTCACCGTGTCCCTCGGTGCTTCCACGTCGCAGAATTCATAATTGAATGCCTTTGCTGGCGTCGCCAGCGCGCCATCGCCTTACGAACCTACCGCAGTCGGCAACAAGCGACGTCGACGGCCGACCCCGCGGCACGGGCAACGACGACGGGGCTGCGTGGAGAGCCTAGCCGAAGGGCAGCGACTGCCGCGCCCCCGCGCATGCCACGGCGACGAGGCTGGTCGGCGGCGGCGGCGAAGATTGCTGACAACGGGGCAGCGGCGGAGACGGCCGATCCACCCAGGCTGAGTGACGGAACATGTCACTCGACCAAGCGACGGCGACAGCAGAGTACCAAGCTCAGGGGCTGCAAACATTGCACAGGTATCCCAAACAGGCAGTCGACAGATAGCCTCGTCGATGGCATCTATAACTGGGAGGAGCTGCTGCGTCACACAGTCATACACATCACCTGCTCGCGTGCCAACTGGCCGCCTTTTGAAAAGAACTTGCCATGACGCTGATTACTCCATGCATGCGTGGGGGGCCAACAAAGACTTCATCTGGCTTCTGCATTCGTGTCCGTTATCGCCCTGACCCGAAGGTACGACACCCTACAGATCGTGGAACGTTGGAACTGGCCGTTGATTATGATGATAAGTATTCCAAGCAACATCAGCTGCAACTCTGAATGTCGGTCACCGTCAAACGGCGACGCGCAAAGGTGCCCCCAGGACAAAAATGACGTTGGTGCGCAACTTGCCGATGTTTGCATGCGAGGACACAGTTAGCGGCGGCCTGTGTGATGGGGTTTCCCTCCCCCTCTGCGCTCCCCGAAAGCCGCGCACCGAAGGTCACTCTGGCGAAGGGCCACTTTTGCATGTAGCCAGCCCGACCCATCGGTCGGAAGAAGTAGGTAGAAACATGAAGTAGAAAGTCGTTGGAAATAGATTGGGTTTCCGCCCTCCTCCCGAAGAGGAGGGAAGAGGGAAAACCGCTCGCCTCTTGAAGTAGGAAGGCGCTGAAAGTAGATTGTAATCTGGGAATCCAAAAATACCTACTTCCAACGACCGATGGGTAATGCTATACAAAACAGGCAAGGTGCTCGGCCTCCGCGTTCCGATGGGCCAAGAATTCTCCTCAGCAGTAAAGGGGGAGGCCGACAGGAGACCGGCGAAGCAGCGAGCCGGACGGATGCGCAGAGAGAGGGGAGAGCCGCATACAACCCATATGAGAGAGACAGGGGGAAGAAGGGGAGAGGAGGAGGTGGAGGAGGCCATCAATGATGTCACGCAAAACGAGCAGGCTACCCGAGGCCCTCCTTGTTGTCACGCCCCTGCCAGAAGCTGTCCTCGTTTTCGTGAATCTCTGCACTGACCACCTTCTCCGCCTGCTCCTCCACCTCCTCCTCCTCCTCCTCCTATTCAACTTCTCCTCCTCCTCCTCCTCCTCCTCCTCCTCCTCCTCCTCCTCTTCCGCGTCATCATCATCCTCAGCCTCCTCCTCCTCCTCCTCATCATCATCATCATCAACATCATCAGCATCAGCATCATCAGCACCATCAGCATCATCAGCATATTTAGCATCATCAGCATCAGCATCAGCATCAGCAGAATCATCATCCTCATCACCATAATCATCATCCGCACCCTAATCCTCATCCTCATCCGCATCCGCATCCTCATCATCATCATCATCATCATCATCATCATCATCATCATCATCATCAACATCATCATCGTAATCGTCGTCGTCCGTCCGTCCGTCCGTCCACCTACCCATCCATCCGTCCACCGCCACCGCCACCACCATGACCATCACCATCACGGTCTTCAGCATCATCAGCAGCATCACCATAAGCATCGTCAAACATCATCCTCATCAGCATCACCCTCAGCAGCATCATCGGCATCACCATCACCATCACCATCACCATCACCATCATCATCATCATCATCATCATCATCATCAGCATCATCATCATCAGCATCGTCACCGACATCTTCGTCATCATCATAATCATCATCATCATCAACATCATCATCATCATCATCATCATCATCATCATGATCAACATCATCGTCATCATCGGCATCACCGTCCTCATCCTCATCAGAATCAGCATCTAACTATTTATCAGCAGCATCAACATCAGCATACTCACCATCATCAGCAGCCTGATCAGCATCAACATCACACTCAACATCATAATCGTCCACCTCACCCACATCGGCACCACCATCATCATCATCAGCATCATCACCATCAGCATCACCATGACAACCACCATCACCATCCTCATCATCGTCATCAGCAACAGCATCATCATAATCATTATCAACGTCATCGCCGTCAGATTCGTCGTCATCGTCATGTTCATCATCATCAGCATAAACATCATCGGCACCGTCGCCATCACCATCAGCATCAGCATCGCCAGCATCGGCATCACCATCCTCACCACCATCATTATCATCCCCATCCTCATTACCAGCAACCTGGGTATCACGCTCAGCCTCATCATCATCATCACCACAACCATCAGCATCGTCTTCGTCATCATCATCATCATCATCATCATCATCCTCATCATCATCAATTCTCCCCTTCCTACTCCCTCCCTCCTCCTCCCCCACCCCCCAGACTCCTGCTTCTCCTTCTTCCAATCCTCCTCGTCACCCTCCTGCTATACCTTCCTTTTCTGTCTCGTCCTCCTTCTCCTCCTCCCTCATCCTAATCCTCCTCCTTCCCGTTGTCCTCCGACTTCTTATTCGTCGTCCTCCCTCCCCTCTCTTCGTTCTAGGCGTTCGCCTAGCGATGCGCCTTCCCCCTCTCCTGTGTTGCTCGTGGCCTTTCCGCCTGCCCGCTCGTTGTTGCGTCTTGCAACGTTCGCGCGTAGGTCTGGTGAGTGCAATCGTTCAGCGTCCCCGAACCTGATTACATATCCAATTAGGGGCCACGCGTGTCCCCGGTCTCGTGGTGATGCGGTGCGATACAAAATGACCCGCATTCTAGCCCGTATGGGGCGGTCTTCTGAGAGGGCAGGCGTATGGGACACGCAATCCTGGCAACCATGCTTCGTAAAACATTGGAAGTAGAAGGTAACACGGAGCGTCCAGATAGGCATGGCAAACAACACAAGAGGAGAAGGAGGAGGAGGAGGAGGAGGCGAAATTCGGAAAAGGTAGTGTTAGCTCTGGTGCCCTCGGTGTGGGTCGCCACCATTCGGCTCCTGAAGACATTCCGACGCCACCAAGACACACTGGAACACGCCTCGCGACAAGCCCCTCGTCGCAGTCTCCAGGCCGCATTTGCAGTCAATGATGCTGACGCCGCCTTGTGATTCGGAGAAGACCCTGAGCAGCTCCGTTGGCCTTTTGTTGACGGTGGTCAGAACTTCGCCAAGGCTCCTGAGCTTGCCACCCGCCGTCATCGAGGCAAAACAGCTAACCCTGAGGGCGAGCGTTCCCGTCTTTCTGTCCCCTCCCCTTCCCCTCCCACCTCTCTGGTGGGGGAGGAGGAGGAGGGGGAGGAGGAATCGGAGGAGGAGGAGGAGGAGGAGGAGGCGGAGGGAGGAGGGGAGGAGGGGAGGAGGGGAGGAGGGAAGAGGGAGGAGGGAGGGAGGAGAGAGGAGGGAGGAGGGGGAGGGAGGAGGGAGGGAGGGGGCCCCCTGTGGTGGAAGCCACGCTGGAGCCGACATGCACGGACATGCAGGGCGCAGAGGCTGCGGCACTTCCTGCCACAGCGGGGCAGTGCAGCCCTCCCCTTCACGCCCTGTCTCAGCCTCCGGCGCATCCTCTCGTATCCTCTCGCTCCCCCTCGGGAAGAGGAGGAGGAGGAGGAGGAGGAAGAAGAGGAGGAGGAGGAGGAGCAGCAGCTCCATCCTCTCGCATCCTCTCGCTCCCCCTCAGGAGAGGAGGAGGAGGAGGAGGAGGAGGAGGAGGAGGAGGAGCAGCTCCATCCTCTCGCATCCTCTCGCTCCCTCTCAGGAGGAGGAGGAGGAGGAGGAGGAGGAGGAGGAGGAGGAGCAGCTCCATCCTCTCGCATCCTGACGGAGGAGCAGCTCCTCCCCATCAGGCGCAAACGCGAGGCGGCGAGAGCCGGGCGGGCCACCCGTTCTCACCCGCCTCCGCGCGGTGCGGGCGCCACGGACCGCCCCGGGCGGGGTTGCTTCTGGACTCCGTCTTCGAGGGCCGAGGCACAGACGTCCGCATTTCTCGTGTGCTTCGATCTCGCGGAGGAGGAGGAGGAGGAGGAGGAGGAGGAGGAGGAGGAGGAAGAGGAGGACGTGGACGTGGACGTGGACGTGGACGAGGACGAGAAGGAGGAGGAGGAGGCGGACGAGAAAGAGGAGGATGAGTTGGAGGGGGAGGTCTCGGAGCGGTGGCGAAGATGGTGCCCGGGCGCCACCCGCCCTGGGACTGACCGAGGCCGAGCAGACCGAGCACGCTCGGAGCGAAGCCGCCCGCCGAGGGGGGACAAAATGATCCCTCCCCCACTCACAAGCCCCGAGACCCCCTCCCCGCCCCCACCCCCCACCCCCATTCCCCTCCCCGCCTGCATCCCGCCCTCGCCGCTTCCAGCTTCCCCCACCTGAAGCGGAGGCAAACATCGGGACAGTGTCGTTATCGGGGTGCATCGGGCATCCCTGAACCCTGGCGGCTCTGAGGGATGCATCGGGCGCCGCGACCTTCCCCGACAAGCATCGGGATGCATCGGGCTCCGAGAGCGCTCCCGACAAGCTCTGGAGCGCGTTCCCGATCCTGGACCCTCCTAAGGACCCCACACAGGACGCAGCGCGCTCACCACGTTCATGAATACGGCCGCGCAAGGCATACTCTCGAAACCAACGTGGATTCATGTGCGGCCGGACCTTGGACAGAAGACCGTCCTCCAAGAACACGAGACCCTCCGCCGGCCGCAACACCCAGGACATCCCAGAGGAGCCTCCCCCAGGATGCAACAGAACACCCACCAAGCACGACGAACATCAGGGGTTACCCTCCCCGAGCCGACCTCGATCTTGTACCTCGGTCCGACTGTACATGTATTATATATATATATATAAATATCTATATATATATATTATACAGGCCTCCCAGGAGGATATTATACAGGCCTCCCAGGAGGAGGAGGAGGAGGAGGGGAGGAAGAAGGAGGAGGAGGAGGAGGAGGGGGAGGGGGGGAGGAGGAGGAGGAGGAGGAGGCGGAGGAGGAGGAGGAGGAGGAGGAGGGAGGAGGAGGGGAGGAGGAGGAGGAGGAGGAGGAGGAGGGGGAGGAGGAGGTAGGAGGAGGAGGAGGAGGAGGAGGAGGAGGAGGAGGAGGGAGAGCAGGAGCAGAGCAGGAGGAGGGGGGAGGGGAGAGGAGGAGGAGGGGGAGAGTGAAGGAGGAGGAGGGGGAGGAGGAGGGGGATTAGGAGGGGAGGAGAGGAGGAGGAGGAGGAGGGGAGGAGCAGGAGGAGGAGGGGAAGGAGGAGTACGTCCTTCCCTCGCTCCTGACCTCCTCCCCCCGCCCCGCGCCCGTGCCCGGCTGGCGGTCCGAGCCGCTGGGCGCGCAGAGGGTGCCCGGGCTGCGCACGGCCGTCCACGTCCATGTACTGGGCACGGGCGGCGGCGGCGGCGGCGGGGGCTCCGGGTGGGCCTGTTTTCCGCCGCCGCCACCATAAGTAGGAGGGGGAGGGTGTCCTCCTCCTTCCTCCTCCTCCTCCTCCTCCTCCTCCTCCTCATCTTCGTCCTCCTCCTCCTCCTCCTCCTCCTCCTCCTCCTTCTCATCTTCCTCCTCCTCCTCCTCCTCCACCTCCTTCCCCCCTCCAACTCGTGGTGGTGGTGGTGGTAAACTGGCGGGCCAGCCCAGGACGGGCGGCGCCCGCGCTCACGAGCGGCACACACGTCCGCATCACCAGGCCTCCTCGCGCTGCGAACTACAATCGCGACGGGGGGGATCGTTATTTTCGGCCTCCCGGGGCCCTCCCCGGGCCTCGGGACCGTCAAAAGACGACTCGGGACGAAAAATCAGTCCCAGGGAAGGGGTCCAGAGCTCTGGGGGTCGACGCTGTGAACAAAAAAGGAGAAAGAAAGAAAGAACAAAAAAAACTACGTCGGGGGTCTGGGTATACGCCTTCGCGGTCTGGACTCTAGGGTGAGATCCCGCCGGTACAGTACAAGCCTGACCGAGGGGAAGCCTGCCACAGGAAGCCCGGCCCTGAGGCCCCGGGCCATCCGTGGATGCTTGGTGCGGGAACGTCACGCTCTCCACCGCAAGACCATCGCAGCCCAGGATACCAAGGGCATCCTGGAGGCAAGCGAGGCGTGCCTTGTCCTGGGCACTCCACTGCACGCGGCCGTACGAGCATGCTCCGTGCGGGGCACGGGCGAAAGAGCAAGCAGGGTGTGCCGTGGCACCGTGGAGGCAAGCAAAGGGCACCGTGGAGGCAAGCGAGGCGTGCCTTGTCCTGGGCACTCCACTGCACGCGGCCGTGTACGGGCGTGCTCGGTGCGGAGCACGGGCGAAAGGACGCTCTGCACCCGCACGGTCGCGGCCCCGGGCAGGGGCCCGGCGAGGCCGCGGTTGCGGACGCGTGCTTCTGAAGGGGCCCAAGGACACACAAAGAATTACACACAAATGATTAACTGGATCCCCCATATGTTTCCGTATATGTTTTGGATTTTTGTCGGCCCCCCCACGTCCTATATTTTCCCATATGTTCCTGGGAATCGACGGTTCATGGTGTCTGCGTGCTATTTTCCCTCCCGAGCTTCGCCCACGACGCGCGCCGTCCCAGAGACGTCCGACGTCGCTCTGTCTGCTTCGCCGCGTGCCCCCCCCCCCCCCCCCGAGGCCTGGGCCACTTCCCGTTTGAAGGGGCCCAAGGACACACAAATGAATAACACACAACTAACTGGATCCCCCATATGTTTCCGTATTTTGAGGATTTTCGTCTGCCCCCCCACCGCCCATATTTTGCCATATTTCTGGGGGAATCGACGATTACCCTCCTGAGAGGGGGCGGGCCTCCTCAGGAGGCTCAGAAAGCCTCTGACCTTCTTTTGGTTCACCCGTGGGCAACAGCAGCGCAAGCTCCAGGTGCTGAAAATACTTGAGCCGAGCGGCGTCAGGAACGACAGGAAGCCCCTGGCCTGCTGGGAAGCGCTCCAAGCCCTCCCCGAAGCCGCAGACAGGCTTCTCGGGAGGCCGGAGGGCTACCGTTAGGTCGGGCATGTCCTCCTACACGCGGATTCTGGACGAAAAATATAAAATATCCACACACACACACACACACACAAAAAAAAAAAACGCAACAATAATCCAAAATAGTCGCGGAAAAACGCCTCTCCCAGACTATCTTTTACTGTTGTTTGCATTCTCCTCCCGTAGAGGGGCATGCCCGACTGGAGGCTACTCCAGATTTCGTAATAAAGGGAGGGGGGTCTCATTTCGGGGGGGGGGTCTCTTCCAGGCTATCTTGGAGGGCCTGGGGGGTCTGGGGACGATGTTTTGGAGGGTTCTCTCAGGGGGGAGGTCTGAAATGGCTTGTCTTGGAGGGTCCAGACCCCCTCCCTTTTATTACGAAGTCTGGAGTACTGGGAAGCCCCGCCGCCAACCGAGAAGGCCTGCCCCCTCTCGCTTCCCCGCGCTTGCGGCGCGCCGCCGGCACGAGAGCGGCGCCCGTGCTCAGCCCCGGAGGCGTCCGACGCGCGGCGTGGGCACCCCGGCAGACAGCCAGACCCCCTGCCGCGGGAACGCATCGGCCCGCTTTTTTTGTTTTACCTCCACGGCCTACCTACCAGACCACCCCAACCCAACCCGAAGACCCGAATTTCGGGTTGGGGGGGGTATGGCCTACATGTGTGTTTCTTCGATGTTCCCGGACCACCCCCACTAGAAATCGAGGGTAAATCTGACCCTTCGGGTTGGGTTGGGGTGGTTTGGTGGGTGGTGATCCACGGCATCACCTCCGAAGAGAGCACACCTGCAGAGAGGGACCCGCGGGAGTCTAGCCACCTGTGGCAGAGGCAACACAAGTCACAACCACATCGCACTGAGCGCCACAGCTCATACGATCATGCGACATGCACACCCCGGTAAAGGAGGCCCGTGGTGGAGGCTGGAAACTTTCAAAAACATTCCGTCGTCAACTTTTAACGGGGCGGAGATGACAGGGGTACCATGTTTGGACTCCCTTCAGGCCCCGCTCCAGCGCGTTAAGGTACATAGTTGTTCAGCCCTCAGGGCCCGAAGCATGTGCTGAATACCGCTCCTGTCGTGGATCGACAACACCTCTGGATACGCCAACGCGGTACGGTGCACACAAATCGTCTGCGGATGGCCGACCCCTTCCGTGTCGAGCCCAACGCCGTGAAATAAGCACGTCGTGCAGCAAAAACGGCAGAGAAATTGGGCCGTCAAAGACGAAAGGATGAAACGCCCGTCTCTGGACTAGGGGTCCAGACTTCTGGGGGGCCGTGTTGCGAACCAAAAACACGAAATTGGGCGCCTGGGTCCCATCCCCCCTTCCCCTCGCTCCTTCAGTCGGGGGTGGGGAGAACCTAGTGTGGCAAAACAAACTTCTGGTGAAACCGACCCACGACCCGGCCTGATGGGGGCAGGCCCGCAAGGACTGCGAATGCAACGCCCTCTGTCGGGGGTGAACAAACCTCCCTTTAATGAAAACGGCCTGGGACCGAAACCGACGGACCTGGACCCGCAAAAACGACGGCCGTGACGCCCCCTCGCGAACCGAAAACGGCCAATTCCTTAATCAACGTGTCAGGGCAGGAGGTCTGCACGGTTTCCCCCGGGGCCGTAGGCGACCCGAGGAGGACGAGGAGGAGGAGGAGGAGGTGGTGGAGGAGGAGGAGGAAGAGGAGGAGGGGGGGGAGGAGATGGGGAAGGAGGAGGAGAGGAAGAGGAGTAGGAGGAGAGGAGGAGGATGGGAGGAGAGGGGAGGAGGAGGAGGAGGAAGAGGAGGAGGAGGAGGAGGAGGTGGAGGAGGAGGAGGAGGAGGAGGAGGAGGAGGGGGAGGAGGAGGGAGGAGGAGTAGGAGCAGGAGAAGGAGGAGGACCGAAAAAAGGACAACTCGCTGATCGACTCAGCAGGCTGGGGCTCCGTCAACCTCCGATGTTCAACAGCGGGGGGGGGAGGAGGGCGGCGGCGCGAGGGCGGTCGGGCTCGACACCTGCGGGTCCCCGCCCCCTCCTGCTCCTCCTCCTGTTCCTCCTCCTCCTGGCTGCTCCTCCTGCTCCTCCTGCTCCTCCTGCTCCTCCTGCTCCTGGCTTCTCCTGGCTTATCCTCCTCGTTTCTCCACGCGTTGCCTCGCTTCTCCTCGCTTCTCCCCCTCCTCCTCCTCCTCCTCCTCCTCCTCCTCCTCCTCCTCCTCCTCCTCCTCCTCCTCCTCCTCCTCGTCCTCCACCGCCTCTCCCTCCTCCTCCTTCTTTTTCCGCAGCGCTCCAAAGCGATCCCAATGACCGAACACCTGAGAAGAGCCCGTACGCACCAACACAACAACATTCGTGTATCTTGTCTACCCTCCACCTCGTTTCTCCTCATCATGCCCCTCATCCTTGTCCTCTACCGTTTCCTCCTCCTCCTCCCTCCTCGCCTCTCCCCCCTCCTCCTCCTCCTCCTCCTCCTCCTTCTCCTCCTTCTCCTCCTTCCCATCATCATCATCGTCATCACCGTCACCATCAACATCATCATCATCATCATCATCATCATCATCATCATCATCATCATCATCATCACCATCATCATCAGTAGCAGCAGCAGCAGCAGCAACAACGTCATCATCTGCATCAGCATGCGCATCAACATAATCATCATCAACATAATCGCCCTAATCATCATCATAAGCATCACCGACACCATCATAATCAGCATCATCGTCAACATCACCATCATCATCATCGTCAACATCACCATCACCATCAAGCAGCAGCCGCAATATCATCATCGTGGTCATGATCATCACCATCAGCATAAACAACGTCAGCATCCACATCACCATCATCATCATCAGCAGCATCAGCAGCATCGCCATATCATAATCATCACCATCTTCCGCATCACCACCATCATCATCAACACCAGCAGAATCAGCACCAGCAGCGTCATCATCAGCACCATCATCAGCATGATCAGCAGCATCATCCACATCATCAGCAGCATCACAATCAGCATCACCAGCATCAACATCGGCGTCAATATCATAAGCATCGCCACCATCAACAACATCAACATCATCAACATCATCATCATCATCACCACCATCAACAGAATGTGGCTCGACCGTCTTAAGCTGATCCGGTATGTTCTGAACGCCCGCCCGCCAACCCAAGACTGGACATCGTAGTAAGACAGACGCGGATGGACAGGACAATGGCGTGGCGCGAGGTTTCCAGCAGGATGAGTGCACAACCCGATCGAGACAAGTGTAACTGATGATGTGTGCTGGACTCGCGAGCAAGAGGCCAGCGCACTCAAACGTTTGCCCTGACTTCGCAAAGCACTGAGTATCCACGATCGCTCTCGCAGAGCTCCTCACAAAAACTTATCATTAGCTCAAGGAAATAAGAAATGCACAGGCGCTCCACTGAAACC